ATATATATTTTTTTTGATATATTTTTTGATATATTTTTTTGATATATATATATTTTTTTTTCTGGTTCAAGTCCCGTACAGGCCTGACTTTTTTTCAGGTCTGATTTTCACTATTGCATAAATAGCGCTATCTACTGCGAGGATCGTGCATCATACATATCAATACCGCAGTTCAAAATATATGAACTTCACAAAGTGATAATTGTCTTTTGCTGGAGAACTCTAGATTCTAAAACTCTAAAACAACTCAGGATGAATCGTGGAAATTGGAGTATGAATCCTATGGCAAACTATCTGTAAGCTGGTGGGTCTTATGAGCAGATAAGGCCCTGACAGAATTTGACAGCTTTAAAACTTTTAATTGATGCAGATGCAGCAGACAAAAGAAAAATTGTCATGAATGACAAAATCTGTCCTTTGATTTTATCAGGACAATTTTCAGTTTTGTTCACTAGTGTGAAATGGCACTAATCAACTTCCTTATCTGAGGTAAATTTTTTTTATCATTAGAGAAAGAGTTGCTAATGATCCAGTGAAAACTAGACTGTCACAGTTGCAAACAGAAGCAGAAGAAGCAACCAATCACAATACCAGTTCATAGGCTATCAGATGACTTATGACACTAGCAATCCAGTTTTCACAGGATTGCAGGCAACTGAGTTGAAAGGGGAATCACTATTTTCCTTCTGATTCCTTTGATTGTATTTTTTTTCTGAAGGGAAGTAAACGTACTCTAAGCTCTCCTAAGTACTTTACACTACTGTAAATGGGAATGAGTGTTCACAGACAAATAACCGGACAGACCTCTCTAACTGACACCAATCAATAAGTTAATATCCTATTTAGATTCAGGACTCATACACAAGAGTGGGTGAGCAGTTAAAACTAGGAGCTACTAAGTATTGTAAGTCATTTAACCTTCCCTTCCCTTAAATTAGCTTCACAGGGGATACAACAGCTTAATGATCACAAAAGATACTCAAATTACAGCCACATTCATGAGATGCGAAACTAAAATTTTATAACCAAGGTTAAACCATGCCCAACTTTATATAATACCTTATTTACTGTTCAGAATAATTTTTTTTAAATACAAGCAAGATTAAAGATTTGATTATGGTAATGTAGAAGAGCTAGAAGCTAGCCTCGGGAAAACTAAGACACAAATTATTTTAATAAAAGAAATGAATAATTTATCCCTTGCCAATCGAAGGTCTTTCAAGCAATTCCTATCTTAACTATACAGGCGTTAAGTTCATTTGGGTTTACTCAGCTGTTAATAGATAACAGAAAGACGTGCAATAAATTAAAAAGTGGCAAGTTATTTAAACACCCGGAGTAAGGATCATTTTCTACAAACTGCACAAAGCTTTGTAATAATAACAGCAAACGACCTTCGAGGCAGGTACCAAGAACTATCGAACAATGTAAACGGCGCTTACAGCTGATCGAAACAAAAGCACTAACTTTTGAGTTTTTGATCGCATAAACCTTTCCCAGAATTTAAAATACAACCAAAATACTCCCAATGCCGAGTGCAGGGGGTTGAATTAAAATGACATGTCAAAATCGTAGACATCAACATGAGTATCGCACAAGAAAAATTGACCAAGTGATGTTTTTAGTACGTCGCAGAACTCGATCAAAATATTCTTGACTCTTGAGGCACCAGACGAGATTTCCTCTGATCAATAGAAATAAAAAAATTTTGACATTTTAGGTCTCTATAAAAGAAGAAATAATGAGCTGCCTTACCTATATTCCGTACGAATATTCTAGGAGCCACAACTCCATCCCTCTTCACACTGTGTGGCATGCACGCTTCGGCGGACGTGCACTGGACGGAGAAGCAGCCACCATTGACAAGCAACGCCAGTTCACACGAATCATTTGCACAGCACAGTTCTTTGCAAGTGGTCATGCTTGTAGTGCGTTTGAGAATTGAAAAATCTCCAGCAAGCGCCCCATCTCGAAGTGTTGCGCTGTTCCATTCCCGGCCACCTTTAGCGCACTTTCTCAAGCTGGTCTTACTCGAGGCTACAATTCCTACAAAAACGTAGCTTTGTATTATGAAGCGGCCGTGATTTCCCAATAAGTTTACCTTCGCAATGAAGAAAGACCAATACTTACCTATAATTACAAATAAATAAAATAAACAGAATCCCGCTTGGAGTCGTGATTTCCTACAGAACGTGCAACTAACAGAAGCCATTGCATATCCAAACTCGGTCACGTTCGATTCGAATTTTAACCCTCCAAATAAAATTTTGCGACGCTATGTTCCACAATAAACGTTGATCTGTAAAATTTCAAAAACAGACGCTTCCTTGTAACTGATACACATCTTTGCAACCCGAGATATAACCCCAACAACGTCACATTGCAGTTCAAATATTCCTGTAGTCTTTCACTTCCTTCAATACACAACCGCCATCTTGGTCGGAAGCCGTTTATGGTTTATTGATTGTCATGACGTAAAGCATACGGGAAACTCCTGATGTGCGAAGCTCATTGGTTTGAACTCAGCTGATAGGAAAGCTCGGGAAATAGCCGCCGAAAATATTCCTCAACGGAATATTCTCTCCTTTGAATTGCCTTTCGTGACAATTTCAAACCCTGAAAAAAAAATATTGAAAATAAGTATGGGAACGCTCATGGAATGTATCTTTATAAAATGAAATCATCATGAAATAAAAATGCAAAACAAGAACAAAAAATTCACGTTACCAGGCATATTTTTCACTTCTTCAAGAATGTTTTTCTTTTATATAATTTTTACATCCCAATCAATTCTAGGGTGAGTTCGTACTTTGGTGATTTTTTTTTTCCCATTTTCACTGCCTTTTTTTAATTTGATATCAAATACTGATTCCACTTTTGCCCCTTTTTAACTTGAGTAAATTTCCTTTGTAACCGGGCGAAGAAAGCTTTACATTGAATGAGGCATAGCAGAGAACCTGCGGCGGATAAAAAAGTTGCCGGGACAAAAGTTATTGGAAAAAATTATTTTCTTGAGCGAGATAATACATTAAACTTGTATTCTATAACCAGCCCTCGTTTAAATTGTTTGTTTGTTTGTTTGTTAATTAATCTGTCCGTTTATCAATAATCTATCTAAGCCACTTCCGTTCAGTATGGCTTTGGCGGGAAAAGGTACCGCCAAAACGACGCTTTCCCCAAATGAGAGTTGTTCAGAAAGGCCATCAACAAAATTTCACCGTCGCCTGCCTTCAATGCTGGAAGCAGTCGTTTGGTTAATTAGCGGCTGGAATCAAAACAAAACTCAGCTAAACTAAGCAGTTATCCCTTAAGCTTTTTATAAAACTTACTGAAAAGATGCTTTCAACAAATGCAGTTGTTCGATCCTGGCCGTTGGAAAAATACGCAAAGTTCATTTATGCGGGAGAGAGCGGAGGGCAATCTAGAAGTCAGGGATACTGGAAGGTTTGTTCGCGGGTTTGCTAAAATCTACCCTTTGAAAAATATGAGGTTTGTTGGCCACAGAAGGTAATTGAGGTGTTCTAATTGACCTTTTTTTATTTGGTTTTAAATTTGCAGCAATTTTCATCCGCCGAAGGTGGTTGTGATACCTTACAACTGTCGTTGCTTGAATCGAACATGATTGTCCGTGATGGAAAAGTGATGCACGTAAGTTTTTATTTTAATTCGTGATCGGTTCAACTGAAAGTCTGAAATCGTTGCCATAATATTTAATTTCACGAGTTTACTTAATTATTTGTTACTGCTTTATTGAGTTAATCTCTAGTTAATTGAGGTTAGATGAGAGTTCAGTTAATCGATTCGGACATAGAAAGGACTCGGAACGGTCACTGCTTTTTGTTTTGAGAATAAAGCTAAAACATTTTTTCCATGTGGCATTGACTTCGGTATAAAACTAAGCTTAAAAAAGCTTGTTCCTTTTTTTCATCAGCAAGAAAACATTGAAAATCCCTCCTCATTTGTAAATTTTTTCATTTCTTAATTAGTTGACAGTATCCTCACCTAAATATGGAATAACTTTTCCTTATTTTTATCGCTAATCTATTGATGTATTTGTATATTTTTTTGTCGCATATATCTCTTTTGCCTACACCAACTATAATTTTAAAACAAATTGAGCAGATTTCTATTCATTTCTAAGAAATGTTGATTAAATTATTTTTCAATCAGCAAATTAATATATCGATTAAGAATTTTTAAAATATTTATGTATCAATTTTCAGGAAAGTTTCTCTTTGTTTAATGCCAGTAAGTGGTTGAAAGCTATAGTCAAAGGCGATAGTATGCTGTTTTTTTACAAGATGAATGTAAGTAATTTTATATTGTCTGCCTTTTTAGCTCGCATGCGGCGGTACTAGTTACCACAGACTAGAGACAGATTTCTTGAGTTGGTCAATTTCAATCATCAAATGATAGTGAGCTTTAATATCTGTGTAAGGTTCAACGAGTTTCTCGCGTGAACTGTTATGATTTTCATTTTTCACTCAAGAAATAAAAGAATTTCGTGTAAGTAGATGTTTGATTGGGATTCTGCCGAGTCATCAGTAGCACAAGAAGTCACGTGAGAAAGCACCAGCCGCTCAAGTGGTCAGTCTTTAAAGCCTTGAGTGTGCTAATCAGGTGAATAGTAGCACAAGAAGTGTGGGCGGGTATAAATACCTCTACAGGGTATGGGCGTGACTTCTTGTGCTACTGATGACTCGGCAGAATCCCAATCAAACATCGACTTAAGGTAAGTCTCGTTTAATTTTTGATTCTGCCTCGTCATCATACGCACTACGAAGTCACGTGAGATTTCAAAGCAACTGATAGCACACGCTATAATCAGAAGAAGCTCTTTAATACCAATTTAACTTAGGCTGAGTACCCTGTTAGTAAACNTCCACATTAGTTATCCACCAATTGAGTTCTGCCCTAGAACTGGGGGAGAGGGTCATTGAAGACCCAAAGTTGCCTTTGTTTTCTCTCAGGGCATGAGATTTATCTCTTTGAAGACTGCGATAGTGTAAAGGGCCAAGTTCTAACCCTGGCAAACTTGACACTAGCGGCCCAATGACCTCTGCCACTTGTCGGACTGTGCAGTTCTCTTTGTTAACTAGGCTGAGACAGGCATTTTTCAGTTTCTCCTTTCGGCTGTCAGTAAGCTGCACAGTCATCATGATTGAGTTAAGTACAAATCCCAGGCATGTCAAGACCTGAGATGGTACAAGCACTGATTTTTCTTCATGAATAGGAAACCCAAGTTTCCTGAGCAACATAACACTTTCTAGTACATTTTCATAACATTCCCCATATGAGGCTCCTTGAAGGTAGCAGTCATCTATGTACGAGGAAGACAAATAACCTTTTCGCCTGGTGTTTTCACATCCTGGCAGATGTGAGGCACTTAACCAAATGTTATGTTCAACACAATAATCCCATATGTGTTTTGTGACTGAGTTGCAGTCGGGGGACTTTGAGCCACCCATATTGTTGATATAACAAACTGCGGTGGTATTATCACATTGAACCCGAATATGCAAATTAGGACATTCTCCACATAAAGCCTTTAGCGTTAAGAGTGCAGTCAATAATTCTAGATAGTTAATGTGATGGGGTGCTTCCTGTTGGTTCCACCTCCCCCCTGTTCTCTGGTCTCCCCTCATACCTCCCCAGCCATGAGTAGAGGCATCAGTTTGAATGAGGAGTTCTGGTTCACCATGAGAAATGAGTTTGTATGAGGTGTCCACATTAGTTATCCACCAATTGAGTTCTACCCTAGAAGTGGGGGAGAGGGTCATTGAAGACCCAAAGTTGCCTTTGTTTTCTCTAAAGGCATTAGATTTATCTCTTTGAAGACTGCGATAGTGTAAAGGGCCAAGTTCTATCCCTGGCAAACTTAACACTAGCAGCCCAATGACTTCTGCCAGTTGTTGGACTGTGCAGTTCTCTTTGAGATACAATGAATTTAAGAAGTTCTTATATATTTTTTTTTTTGACTGACAAAACAGTTCTCTTTGTTAACTAGGCTGAGACAGGCATTTTTCAGTTTCTCCTTTCGGCTGTCAGTAAGTTTCACAGTCATCATGATTGAGTTAAGTACAAATCCCAGGCATGTCAAGACCTGAGATGGTACAAGCACTGATTTTTCTTCATGAATAGGAAACTCAAGTTTCCTGAGCAACATAACAGTTTCTAGTACGTTTTCATAACATTCCCCGTATGAGGCTCCTTGAAGGTAGCAATCATCTATGTACGAGGAAGACAAATAACCTTTTTGCCTGAGTACATTAAACACTGGTTTTAACAGTTT